GTCAATAAGTGACCATGACTGGTGAGGATTTGAATAGAAGGTAAATTGTCTCTTATCTGGATTTAATTTTCTCCATATGTCTATTAAATTTAATTCTTTGATCATTTCTACACATATTTTAGGTAGTTCTCTTTTCTTTTTCCTTCCCTTCTTATTCCCCCCATTATAGTTTTTTTGATAACCTGTTACAGCATTATAATCCCCTATCATACAAATATTTTCCTTTCCAATTCAATAATTTTAGCATATAGAGCTTTATAAAATTATTTTTGGTTGTCATTCGGGGCATAAATTACCACTAATAGAATTTTTTTTTTAAGTTTATCTGTATTTCTATTGTCAGAACTCTTCCTTTGGGATCTGCAAATATTAAATTTGCCTTTATCTCTTCTTTAATGTAAAACTGCTATTCCATTCTTTTTTTCATTATCTGCAGAAACCATAAACAATGTCCCTAATTTAGGACAATCTAGATATTTTTCATCTGTTTTCAAAATGTGTATTTCTTGTAAACAAATAATATCTGCATTTTGTTTTATTAACTTCGCCAGAATCCTTGGTCTTTTTGTCTTTGAGTTTAAACCATTTATGTTGATGAATAAGAGTTTCGCCTCTTTTTCCATTGTCCTAATTATATCTGGTTCTTTGTCTCCTGATCTCTCTTATTTCCCTTTGCGTTATGTTCATTGATTTAAGGTCTTCTCTTTCTTGTTGGTTAGTTTTTTGTACTTCTTGTTTTTCATCTTTATTTTTTGGTTGGTCTTGTTCTTCTTGAGTGTTTAGGCCTAGATCTTCTTTGCTACTTTGATCTTCCAAGACCGCTAGTTGCTCGTACAATTCTTGCACCTTTTCTAAAGTATCTATTTTGATCTTACTTTCTTCCCAAGAGACCAACATTCCTTCTGGAATCAGCCAACGAAATAGAATGTCTTGCTTATTTAACTGTGTAGCCAAAATTTATTGTCCCATTTTTGCTCCCTTATTTTTCTAGGGATTTGTTTGAGGATCTGGATTTCCTTTCCTTTGTATACTATAGCTTCTTCTCTAGATATCTTATTTATTATGTTCCTAACTTTCCTCCTCGTAAATTGAATATGGACCTCTTTTGTAAGTTTGTTTCTCCTTGCATAACTTGTGCTGACCCTGTATATGTCGTCCATTTCCTTTAGCATTTCCTCCTTATCCCTATCTAGAACTTCGGTTAAAATTTCTGCCATCACTAACTCTAGGTCGTCGTCTTTAGCTTCCACTATATTTTGAAATCTAAGGTACGACGCAGCTTTGTCCATTTCAATATAGATCAGGGAGTCCTCCATTTCTTTACTCACTGTTTTTATTTGTTGGTCTACTGTTTCTAACTTTTTCTCTCTTTGGTCCATTCTTTTCTCTACTTCCTTTATTGTGTGTTCGTTTCTTTCCAATGCTTGTTGAATTGACCCTACCTTTTCATCAAGTTTAGACATATCTGATCTCATTTCTGTTTTTAACTTTCCCATTTCCTCCTTCAGTTCGTTAATATCAGCTCTTGTTTCTGAATGATTTTTACCATTATTTCTTGAAGTTTGGCCATCAATTCTTCTAATGTAAGTAACGAGGTTTGACTGTTAACATTCGAAGCGGTGCTTTGTTTCTCAGCCATTAGTGTTTCTTCTGTTGTTTTTGTATCCTTTTGTATCTATCCTGTTGCTGCTGAGGATGCTGGAATTGATTTGGTCTTCTTTCCTGTCTTACTTGTTGTAATAGTTACAGTGGACATTTTTTCTAATATCTCTCTCTGATTTTTAAGAATGATGTAAACATTATCCCAAATTGGCATTAAACAATTTTAAATTATTTTTCTTAAGAGTTAACCGTTAATGAGATATAATACTTGTTAAGAGCTTTTATAATGTTACGTTCTTATATAAAGTCTCACTAATCACAATTCTATACTTGCAAGGTAAATATCTAGGTATATCTAACTATATAGCTATCAAAACAAAACTCTTCAGATATGTAAATGTATATGCATCAATGTAAGTATAATTTACAGTTTAAATTGTGAATATAAGCATTATGATAAACATCAGAGAATCTAAATTCTATGTTAATATAAATACAAAATATAAAGAGAAGAATTTAAATAATCTATTAAATATCAATATATAACTGTAAGTATAATCTACCTAGAACTTTAACTAATTATTTATTTATCTTAATTAGGCATATATAAAATGAATTAAGTAGTAGTAGCAACTCCCAGTTAATTACACTAAACTCTGCTTAAATTGATTATCGTTTAAATCTAAATCTAAAGTATATATTATAATATATCTGGGTTTAAATACCAATTAATTTTATACTTAATAATAATTTCCAGAAATTATTGTATCCAGTAGAAGGGAAAGAAAAAGAAAAAAGAAAACTAGTCAGCAGATGTTCAAATGGCAGATTCGCCACTTCACCAATTTAAAAGTTCAAAAAGAATAAAAGTTATCAATTTATCCAATTCTTATTAGTATTTCAGTCTCTCAAAATTTCCCTCCGATTCCATCTTCTGTGTTGTACTATTGAATTGCTGAGTAATACTGTTCACTATAGACATTCTCCACTTCCGTTACTTCAGCTGTTTCTCAATGTCTATCAGTCCTTAGCAAAACGTAGTGCTCACAGCCCAGTAACTTGTGTTAAACTCTCACTTCACAGTTTTTCAAAAATTAGGATTTCCAAAAATTTCCAAAGTTTAAAAGTTAGTATTTGGAAGGTATCCTGGATCGCTATCTTGATCTATTCTGTTTGTTAAAGTGTCCTGCCACTCTCAGCTATCTATCGTTCCCAGTCACTCTCCGATCATTCTCACCTCTGCTTTCTTGTCACTTTATCGGGTTACAATAGATTACTCTTCATTGATACAGTACGAATCTTTATTTTTAAAATCCTCTATAATGCTAGCTCTTTGCACTGTCTTATCCTTATTCTTCACCACAGGCTGTCATTCGATCTTGCTTCCCCTTTTTTCTGGCTGTTAGGACTTTGGAGGAACCATCAAAAAAATGCCAGCCTCTCTGTTGCTGAGCTCAACGGGGTTTCTCTCCGTCGCGCTGGCGATCGCGTATTGCCAAAGTGCTCCATGAGTTTCCCCATTCCAACACGCTTCCCTCCAGGCTTCATGTATCCTTTCAGGATCGCTCCAGCACCAGAAAAGAGTGGTGAAGAATAGAGCTAGCTCTTCAATCTTTCTGATCATCCTAACGTCACCACCAGAAGTCCTCCTTTTTTAAAGAATCACAAAATGTTCCTTTACCATTAGGTGGCACTCTCTGTTATATCCAAATTCCCCTCCCCTCCCACTTTCTTTTCTCTATTTAGGGCTTTTAAATGTCAAAGATCCAATTAGTCCAAATATCAGTTACTGTTTCTTTTTTGACACATTCAAGTTCAGCTTTAATTATGCCTCTTTAATGCCAAAATCACATATATCCAATTTGAGCTTTTGGCTTCCTCCTTTCAAATTTAAAAGCCAATTTCAGCTGTCAATTCCCCCCTTCCACTTTCTCCGCTCACTGCTTTACCATCTTTCTTAAAATGTTCTTAGAATCTTAATTCCAGGGTACCTTTATGTCCAGATATTGTGCCCGGTTATCCTGGTTTTCACACTGTTCTCTTCTTCACAGCTCCAGCACAATCTTTGTCCTGGTTAACTCTTCCTCTTCAGGGTGGCCATATTTGACCACCACTACAGCCCTTTGGAGGAGGAGAATATGTCTAGCCAGAGAGGGGAGATGCGGCTCCCCTCGATCCAGCTGGTGGTCTCCCCTTTCTTCACTGCCCCTACAGGTTCTGGCCCCAAAACAAATTCTCGGGGCCCTCCGACAAGAGAGTACGGAACGAAGCCGCGCATGATCATGGTCTCCAGTCTGTCAACGAGGGAGGGGCCACCAGAAGTCCATTGTAGTTCATTCTTGAATGAGCACATTTTTTTTACCGTTCTTGAGTTGTAGAAAAGCCATGCCTTGCTGTCTTGAGATATTATTAACAGATGTGCTCTAGGCTGAATTCTTATTATTTGAGAACAGAATTGCTATTATGAATCATGGTCTTCAAGTGCGCCGAATGAGAAAAAAAGAATTTCTTTAAAGGACTATGTTGAAAAATATTCCTTGTACTTGGAAGAGACCCCCAACACTGCAGCAGCTATAAAAAGTCTTGGGGAACTCCGGGAGTTTCTGCTGATCACAGAAAAGTTACGTAATACTCTTTATAATGAAAATGTTTGTAATCTTGTCCTTCCTGAAGGGAAGAAATTAATCCCATCCCGAGATGGGTGATTGATAGGTTTCCCTGCCCTAATCCTGTCAGTTTCTGTTGTTTATTGACTTTATTCAATGTGCATCAGCTGCATTCCAGTTGCAACTGTTAAGTGGTTCTTGGCTGTCTGTTTGGAGCTATTAACTGAAAAGAGAGAGAAGGGGGGGGGGGGAAATCTCTCTTGCACTTTCATATTTTAGCCGGTTCTCCGAACTGCATAAGCAATTAACTAACAGTTCAGGTGAACCAGTGAGAACCAGCTGAATTCCCACCTGTGTTGCAAATTTTTATAAACTTGTATTCTTATTATATATCAACAATAATTAATTTATTTTCAATTTGGCTGATATTTTGAAACAGTATTTAAATGTCAAGTTCCTTTGCCATCTAAAGTTATTTTCATATATATATATATGGCTGGGATTAAATCGGTAAGTAATTTTGTTTAGGTTCAAATATAATCTGTCTTGTTTTAATCATCTATTATATTTTCATTATAGTTTTGTTATTAGGCGGCATATGTTGATTTATTACTGATTTTCTAATTGAATTTGAGAACTTGCCTTCTTTTTTTGCTCAGTTCTAAAAAGAAAGATGACACTGCTTCTATGATGATTACTCAATTCTATTTATAACCCTGGGTAATAAGTACGCAGATGTTCTTGTCAGTGAGACCTTGTCATAATAGTAGCTTTTGAAAATTGGAAGTATCAGTTGTTTTCATAAATGATTTGGGGTTGATGAGTTGGGTAACTGTGTAAAAAACGCTGAATTCCTTTCTTGCTTAGAAGAATGTCAAAGGAAACTTTTGTATTCACCTCTTCCACTCTGCGCTCCTTGCGCTTGCAACGAGAAAAGCTGGAGTGGGAAGAACGGCAGAGGGCTGCATCTCGCCAGTGGGCCAGCCAGAGGTATCATCCAACTGCCAGGAGCCTCCTTTCTCTCCCCAAGCCCACCAGACATCTTGAATACTGTCGGGATCCTGCTCTTCACAATGCCCTTTACACAGGAGACTTGCCAAGGATCCAAAGCATTTTTAAAGATAAAATCACTTCCAACTTGATTGTGGAGACCCAGGTGGAAGAGCTAGAATGGTCAGCTGATCAGGGTAAGATGGGTAATTTTTTGCAGAAAGAAAACAAGTAATGTTGTTCATTTTTCTTCAGATTTTAGACAAACATTATCTCTTTGTATTGTGGAACAAAGGCTTGTAATATATGATTTAATTACATAAGAAATGAAATGGAAGAAATATGTGTTAATTATTTTAGCTGGGGGGGGGAAAAGGCAGCTTTGGGTAAATTGAGGCCCAGACAAGTTTATTTCCCAGATAGCCTTTTACCATACTACTACCTTGCCTGTGTTCAGTCTACTTCCATGTTTAAGCTTCCCATGTTTTTGGTCATTATTTAAAAAAAATTTTTTTTCACTATTGTAATCGGAAGGAAGGAATATCGGTACAATATTGTTATGTTTCCAATTAGTAGTACAATCTTTGCTTGAATTGTAAACATCTTTTAAACCTTGCAATAAAAATAGAGAAGAATAATTAAATATATTTAAAGCATCTATTTTCATTCTTATCTGAAAATTTGATAAGAAAGTAAAACTGAAGAAATTAGAATTGTATGTAAAGTGATATCGTTTATAAACATTATTGCAACATACCGTAGGTATTCTAAGACTGAATTAATAGTAACAGTTAAGATTTCCTAGAATTGACCACCCAGAGTCACTGGGAGGTGGGCAGCATATAAATTTAATATGTTGCTGTTAGTTATAATTCTTCTTCTTGAGATTAAGATTTCTCTAACATGTTATTTTATAACAATAGTTTTCAATCTCTATTTGGCTTTAGAGTCTTTAGTTTCTATTTCTGAGGCAAGACCTACATTTATATCTATCCCTGTATCATTTTAGTATATATTTGAAGCTATTTCACTAATGACTGTCACCAAACTATAATCCTCAGGAATTGGGTGAAAAGCAAAACATTTAAAATATAACATATTTCTTTTTCTTCTTCTCACACAGCCAAATATCATCCTCTTTAAAAAAAACAGTGTAAAGAAATGTACCATTAAAGCAGAAGACTATAGAAGGCTGGAGTTCATTGTTTTTATGTTTAACATCTTTTATTCTTCCTCTGTATTTTCATTCTAGTGCTCAAGTTAATCCTAAAACAGCATAGTATTTCCTCAGACTATGTAAGAAAATTGAGTCAGGCCAAACTTCCACCTAGACCAGATTTTATATTTTTAGTATTTAAGGCACTATCATTTCTTGGAAATCCACAAGTTAGCATGTTTGAGTTATTTGTATTGTGTAAGCTTCTTGTGGAGCCATTTTATGGTGTGAGGATTGTGAATATTTAATTTTATTATCATAACTAGTAGCTTTATTATCCCTTCATTTATATTATATCTTTGTGAAAGTTCTCGTGTATGTTCTAAAATAAATGAATTCTGAATAAACAACTTATACGTAAAATAGTCTTCAGCTGATGCCCATCAACAGAATTAGCTGTAACGAATGTGATACAGGGAAAAAGTGTCTTCAGTTTAATGCCAACCAACATAATTGGATAACTGACAGTATTTTTTACCATGTTTTGATACAGGAAGCTTTTGTCCAACCAATTATCTTTGTCTTTGTTGGTTTTACAGGGTTGTGGGTGTTGACTGCTCAAAAGAAACACACATCTCCATTGCGAATAACAGCTGCCAGGGGCTATCAAGACTGTGTGAAACATCTGCTTTTGAAAGGGGCAGATGTCAATGCAGTTATTGGTGGGAAAGCTGCTTTGCATGATAGCTGTGCCAACCATCATGAAGAATGCACCCGTCTGCTCCTACGTTATGGTGCTAATGCTAATATTCTTTCAGAAGAGGGGCTGGCCCCGTTGCATTTGTGCACCACTCAGGAAACTTTGCCGTATGTCTGGGAAGTTGAAAGAATTGTGGGTGTGATGGCTTGAAGGAAAATTAAAGACAGGTTAATAGGAAAGTGGTGGCATATTTTGTAAAATAGCAAACAAGGTTCTTCAAGTAAAAGAATTATTCTTTAATGTTAAGATACTCTCCTGGGAGGAAAAGATATGTAAGAAGCTGTACATTAATTACTTTTTGAAGGCAGAGTATTTCTATGGAAATCTTCTGTATCTTCAATGTTGACAGAAGGGTATATAGAAACCTTTTATATTTTATTATCTGAACTGCATAATCCATGACCCATTGTTTCATAGATACTTCCTTATCTAAATTGAGAAATAGAATAACTAGGTGGGTAGAAAAGCAATGGGAGTGGAGCAACTTTAAAAAAAAACAATTTTATTAAAAGTTTTGAATAACTAGAATAGAAAAACAAGAAGAAAAATGCAAGAAAAGGGATAAAAAGAAACCATCTTACCACAAGACAGAGACTTCCCACCATCATTACAAGTATAAACAATTCCATTATCTCTTCACTTCTTATCTAACAAATATAAACTCTTCATCCCATAATCCATCTCTTTAATAATTGGCAAATCAAATAATGTCTTCTTCAATTCAGTTATCAGCAAAACATCCAGAGTATTTAAATTTTTTACATTAATTGTCCTGTATAAAACTCAACATTCTACATCTCAGCTCTTAATTATAACAAAATCCTACTTAAAAAGGCATAAAATGGCCCCAACATCCTGCTCTAAACAAAAGAAAATCCAAGTTTAACATGAGAAGAATAATTTCCCCTTCACAGAAGACAAGCTCCAAACACAACATTCCAAATAACAACCAATCCTGTTCACATATGCATTCCACCTCTTCTCTCTCAACTTTAGGTAATTTTCTGCCTGTATAAGTGTGTCCATACTTCTTAAATTGTTGTTTCCCAGTGTCTTATTATAAACAAAAGATTACAATTTAATGTAATGAGAAATAATTACTTCTTTAAAAAGTTCTCCAAACTTTTTCATCTTTTTATGACTTTTTATGACCTTAATTTGGGATAGAGTTGGATGACTAAGGATTTATTGGCCAAAAGCCTTTCCTGATGCCTAGGGGGAAAGGATTTTATATCTCATTAAATATAAGCATATCCAGTATACCCTTTTTTTTCAATTAAGGTATCAATAGATACAACAACAAATTCCATTTGATCCCTGGTTGAATACACTGAATGTAGTCCTTTTTTTTCTTCTATACTGGGCAGTATCTCTTAGTAATTTATTCAGATGTTTGTTGATCTTTATTACAAGTTTCTTTAGCACTTCAAAAATTTCCCCAAAACAAAAATATTCCAAATGTTATGTAGGATTATTATTTTTATTTATTTCTTATTTTTAAAACCTTACTCATTTTTTTCTATATCTAGTAATAAATTCTTATTCAGAGTCTTGTTCATATTTTTTCAAGTAAATTTTACTGCGTATATTATACTGTAACATCTTTGGGAACAAACTTTTCTTAAGAAGACTAGACATAGCTGATATGATTGAATCAAAATCATAGGTCCCTGCATAATTTCTTAAATATATCTCTAATTGCCCTTATGAATTGTCATTTCTCCAATCCTTAAAAAAAAACCTTTCCCACAAGGACACATTTATTCTTAAAATAAAATTCCTAATATTCAAGTAAGCCCCGTTATTTTCTGTGCCCTTAAAACTTACAGTGGCCCTCTTGTGTTGCTTTTTGGTGTTTATTTTAAGTTTCTACACATTAGAAAAATAAATATTAGTATTCTTATATTTATGATCACTGTCTTGAGGTTCTCATTGTGAGGAAGAACAACCATAAGGAGAAACTAGGCAATTTGCATCTCTGTCTTTGATCCAGAAAGGATCATTGGAACCAATTGGTATAGGAATCAATTGGTATAGTAAATGTTGGCTCTGCTTGTCCACAGAGCTGTTTTCATCCTGACATCCTCTCTAAGAAGCTCAGGAGCAGGAAGAAATTCCTGCTGAGTTCCCCATTGGCTTTTCTTATAGGAATCTGGCAGGGAGCATTGGAAATGACAATCACATGACTGCGGCTGATTGCAGCAGTACAATAGTACTGAAGCAGCTACAACTTTCCCAAATTTAAATCCCACAGGAATTATGGGCCCTAGATTTTGACACATTCTGTAAATTAGTCCATTTCAGGTATGTTGATTTAGAAACTGTTGCCATATGACACAGCATTTCACCCAATTGAAGGATACAAATAATAGGGCAGATATGAGAGTTTTAGCAGTATGTAGATATGAGTTAATGCGGAAATGCTTGTTTTACATTTTCTCTTACATAGCTTCTGCCTTTAGCCTTCTCTGGGACCCATGAATAACATTCTTTTTAAACTGCAATGAAGTGCATTTTGTAATACTTAATTCAGAATTAAATTTTAATAACGTTTGACTTGTTTACATGGTTACCTCATAATAAAAGAAATAATTGAAATCTGCATTTAATAGGATCTGAAAAGAGAGTAACTGGATATAGTGGAATGAAGCCATACTTGATATAATTACAAGGAGTGCAAGAGTGCTTAACAGCATTTAGCTATGTGCACCCAAATCTATTTCTGCAATATTTTAAAATATATTTTAAAGCCAACAGAACGTAAAATTAAATAGTAGTTGATTGTAGGGCAATTGCAAAATTCCTTAATGCAACTCTGTGCCTTTCAGGTGTGCTCAGCTATTACTGGAATATGGAGCTCTAGTGAACCAGAAATCAAGAGATGGCCATGCTTCCCCATTGCATGTGGCTAGCAGGCATGGTTTAGAGGACCATGTCAAACTCTATCTTTCCTATGGAGCAAATATTGCTCATAGAAATCAGGAAGGGGAGACTGCTCTTAACACTGCTTGTGCCAGTGCAGATAAACCTGAGGAAGCTGGCCGCTACTATCAAGTGGTAAAGCAACTTCTGGATAGTGGGGCCAATGTTCAGATTGCTGGCCGAAAGAACCATACTCCACTGCACAATGCCTGCAGCAACTGTCACATTGGTATTGTGGAGCTCCTGCTACAGCATGGGGCAGAAGTGAATATTAGTAATTGTGCTGATAATACTCCTATGGACTGTGCTTTGCAAGCAGTGGAAGATTACCTGGAGGAAGAGCCTGAAAAAATTATAGCTACGTTGCTCAACCATGGTGCTGCCTTTATTAATCCTAAGGTAAGAATCCTAAAGTAAGCCTTCAATTCTAGTGATTCCTTGACAGTTTCTTGAAATTGTTGACTGATTTTTGGATTGCATAAAATAATTTGACAATAATATATGTACAGAATAATGTTTGTAAGTTTTTTAAATGTATTGCCAACTTAGGACAGTTTCCTTTCTGGGTAAGGACAAGAGATTTTGTGTTTCAGTTTCAATACAGAAAGTAGAGGATGCCAAACAAGCTGTCTCCTATTAGACATCTAAGAGGAATGAGTAGCACTACCTAAAGCTTTTACAATGAGAGGCACTTGTTTTAAATGGTAGAGCCAGTCATGTAGCCATTTTCTCTCTCTTCAAAGTCCACACCAGCTTTAAAAATAGGAACCATCTCCTGGATGAAAACTGACACAATGCTGTTTTTAATGTTCCTCTCAGATTGTACTTCCTATAGGTGCTGTAAGAATATAGGGCTTTTGGTTGAAAACATTCCTTTTCCCTTCCAAGATATTCATGCTTTTTATTTTCTTTTGTTCTTTCCGTTAATGCTTCTGCACTTAGATGCTAAAGTTTTGTGCCTCATCACCTCGATCTATGGAAATAATTCTGAATTCTTATGACCGAGTAGTGTCCTGTGATTCCTGGGTAGGATCTGTACCCACTGAAATGTGGCATGTAAGAAACAGTACTTTTATTGTTCATCATTACTTATAAGTCATACTCTTCTATCATTATGTTATCCTTTGGCTTTTTCTTGCTGAGTGAGATCAGGACTTATACTACAGCATATGGAGAAAGATGGGGAAATGGTAGCTGAGAAATTTGACAGTTTTTTTAGGTACCATTCCTTTTTTCTAAAAGAGAAGTAAACAGTCATATATCAGTTTGACTTCTAGCCATAGCTTAGATTCAAGTAATCAGATCTTTACAAGAATTAGTTTTTACAATTGGATTGTATGTATTAGGACTGCTTTCCAGAAAGCTTTTGAAATAAGCAACCATACCCTGCTTGCATTTTTGCTACCATCTGACCACTCACTCAGAAATCGAGTTCAAATCATGAATTAGAATTCATGACTACTCGTTAAGTAAGGGCTCTTCCTCCTATCTCTCAAGGCCATTCTCTCTACGCCCTCTACAACCTCCCTGTTCCTGTGATAACTCCAAAACTACTTGTTTAATTTGGGCTCCCATCACATTGTTTGAGAGGCAATGTATGCTCTCATAGATTAATTCTCCCTGTAATGATCGAATTATATTATTATATGGTGTATCACTGAACATAGGTTGATGTAGAAGAATCACATGATGGTATGTTCTGGTTATGACTGGAGAAATATTGCAGGGTGGGAGAGAGATTTCTATGCAGTAAAAAAAAGCATTGGTAAGTCTAGAACTTTTCCCTCTGAGTACAGGGATTCTCAATTTAACATAAACAGAATTCTTGAAAATTCAAAAGTTATTACACTCTTTTGTATTACTGTAATTCAGGGTTGTGAAACTCAAGGTCCAGAGGCTGGATACAGCCCTTGGGGTGATTAGATCGGGCCTCCTGGGCTGCCCTACAAACAGCGAAGTACCAGCCCATGGTGCCTCTGTCAGTGAAAACAGAGCTTGGGAGGACTGCGAGCTCCATTTTTTCTGGCAGAGGGCTGCAGGAGGCCATCATTTGGCGCTCTCCCTGGTCTTGCCTTCCTCCCCTGGAGACAATAGATCCCTCAGCCCTGCGTGGGCCACCACAGGCACAAGTGATGTCAAACTGGTTACGACCCCCAGCCCCTCTGAGGTCAAACACAGCTCTGATGCAGCCCTCAGTGAAATTGAGTTTTACACCCCTGCTCTAATTGATCCTAACAAAGGTATTGTCCAACCATGGATTTGGCATTTATTTTTAAAATTAAATCTTACTGCTTTTTTTAAAAAAATAAAGATACTCCATCATTTGATCCTTTCCCATAACATGGGTTCTAAATAAGGTCTTTGGCAACTAGTTCTATGTGTGGGGATTTAATTTCACAAATTATATATACTCTTGAAATATAAAGTAGAGTATCTAAAAGAACCTAAGCTTAGCTGGGTGGCTGAACTGTGATATAAGAACAGTAACAGATATTATAAACTGTTTTACCAATAAAAAAACCAAATCTGGAAGTTATAGCAAGACTGAACAATAAATGTTAGAAAAATAATAGTGGGTGAAAATGCACACCTTTTTAAATAGATATTTAACTCTTGACTGTCCTGATACAGACAACAGATACAGCTTAGCACATGGAGAAAGTGGTTTAGAATCTGGAAATCTATATAATACAGTACTACTGTACATATAGGAACATATATAATGTGTGTTCCTAAAATACTTGAACCAGAGAACTTTAAAGATTGCTCCATGGGGTGTGTAATCTGTTGCAGAATATATTTTTTTCTTTACATGGAATTTTATAATAATTTCTGTATAACACGTCTGCCTCTTGATGCTTTCTATTGATGTGCCATGTATGGACAAAACCACATTTAATTTTTCTTTTATGTCTTTACAGGAGTATCAAGTGTTCTATGATTCAGCTCTTTTCCTAGTGAATCAACCTCGCCCACTGCAACATTTAGCTCGTTGTGCTATTCGAAGGCAGTTAGGGATCCGTTGCCATAAAGGCATCTCTCAGTTGAAACTACCTTCTGCTTTGCATGAATATTTACTTCTCCCATTGAAGGGTTATCTCCAATAAGATGATGGCAAAATAGCAATTAGTAATTTATTATAATTCCATCCTCCTGTAATGAAATACTAGTATTGCCACTAAAATGGTGATTAAACTGCAAAGAGCAAGCATTTTAGCTATATTGATAGCCATAATTCTTGTACCTTTCAATGTAAAGCAGAACTCCTTCCAGAAGAAAAAGCAGAAAAATATGAAGATAAATTTTGACTGTAATGCAAACATGAGTCCTGTTAAGAGACTGTTGAGGCATACATGTCTGATTGATTTAGGCTGGAAATTATTTTGTTTCATCCATTTACACAATGAGAATGTGTGCATATTATTGAATCTCTGGCATGAAGGATTCTCACCAATTAGTTAACTACTGTATTCTGTCCATTTAAATAATGGGTGGGTATTCACATATGTTAATATTGATCCTGATTTAATGCACTGGGCTTTGATTATAATCTTAAGAATGTAAATGTTGATCGTTTCATAGAGAGATTAATATCACTGGGCATATTTTTCTATTCAGTTAAGAATCCGATACTAATTGTAGTGACCATTATTGGTGACCTATAGATCAGACTTCCTGGAGATAAGGTGAGACGGATTGGAATGGTCATCAGTAAATTTGGCAGTGATCAATTAAACATTGGCAATAGTGAGAGTCCTACTTGTAACTGCTATCTTGCAGGATCTAATCTGGATCGGTCACCAGAACCAAAGGTTTTTTCTTCTGAGCTAGGGAGAGAGAAGTTCTCTGAAGATGGACTCCAGCACAAAAGCTCGGAAGATAAAACCACTGGTCATCAACCCAGATTAGATTCTACAACATTATATTCACTTTCATTTGTAATTTCCATCTTTCTCAAGGTATACTGAAAATACTAAATAGAGGTGATTTCTCTGGCATGATGTCTGCATGCTGAGGACATGTTAAGAGAATGATGCAAGCTATATGAGCATCAAGATGATTTTAAATCTTTGGGCTAGAATCTGAAATAAAAACATACTGTTCTGTTGTGCCAATAAAAGAGAATATATGTGGAACTAGGTTGAACTGTGGAGTTCTTGGTGCTCTCTAAACTTGTTTTCATTATCTGATTAGGTAACATCTTCAGTGCACTATGTAATGAAACATTTGCTTTGGAGAACAAACACAATTTGTATTAAATTTTTAATACACAATTTGTATTAAATTATAGATTTAATTATTTAATTATTCATTGTTTCAATACATTATTCCAATGCCAATCACAATATTGTTTAAACATACATAATAATAGTATCATTTAATTTCTAATCTTATTATTTTTATTGTATAAAAATGTGTATACTAATATTCCCCCCCTCTTATTTCTATCCCTATTCTAACTTAATCATGCCACCATTATAAAAACAAATCCTTTCTATCCGTCATCTCTTGTCCGCTTTAAAGCTTTAGCTGTTTGTTTTTTAACTTGCCTCCAATATTCCTTTCTTGGATCTTTATCCCTATCTGCATCTACATCTTGTCTAATTCATTTTAAACATTTCTCCCATCTCAGCCCTTTTCCATTATCTAGCTTTCAAAAAATAACCCATGCCCCTATCTCCCTTTAAAAAATGTCTTCCTGCATCTCTGGTTCCCTTTTTAAATTTCTTAAAATGTTTTCCCCTTGGTTTATTTCATCAATTATTATTATTTTTATTATTGTTTTCTTCTTGTCTTGTTTTGTTTGCTGGTTAATCTCTGCTTTTACATCTGCTCTTTCAGTTGGCTCCTTTTCATGGGCAACTTGGTCACTCATTGTCCTTTGTATAATATTTTCCAGTTTTTTATCCATGCCGTGTATTAAGTTCTTAATAAAACCTTGTGGTTTCTTATCAGAATGTCCTTGATGCTTTGAAACATTAATGCCGTTTCCCACATTCCACTCATTTCCTCCTGATGGCATGTTGTCTTGTTTTAATAAGTCCTGCTCTTATCCAAGTAATCCAAAAATCATGTATTCAAGCCTAAAGTTACCCCCCCCCAAAAAAAATTAAATGTTCACAATTTTTTGTATTCCACAGTCAATCTGTTCTTTTAGATAATCTCAGCAGCTTTTCCCGAACCTCCTTAAATACCCTTTATGTGTTCAATCTCATATCATAGCATTCAGGGGCTCTTTAATGAAAATATCTTTCTTATTCTCATATTTAAATCTCCAGTACTCATGTTGTAGATGCATAAAACATATCCTTGTCAGAATTTTCCAGGATTTGAGAATGTTATATTCTCCTTTCATCAGCAGATGGCACTCTTGGTTTAGATATCAGTGTTGACCAGTTTTAATCAAATAATAAGTCAAAATATAGAAAGAAATTCTAATTTTTAGGTAAATAGTTCCAGTATTTTTAAAATGCCTTTCCCGAACAATGCCTACTCAGTTTAAAATTTTCTGTATCTTTAAAAGTTAGGGTTTTTTTTTTTGCCTTTCTCCCCTTAATTCTTTTCTTTCAGTTCTGAAGTTTTTCTCAAAGTGCTTAGTCACTGCTTTAGCAAATAGTTGTTACCCCCTCTTTGCCTGGATTTTATTCTTTTGGGGTTAATTTTTAAATAAAAAAGAATCCTCTCATCCAGTTCCAGAGACTGTTCACTAATTCCACTCCAGCACCAGTCCTTAGTTGTCCCAGCTTCATGGCAGCCATCTTTAGGCTGCCTCTTCTCGTGGCTGAGGGAGGGGGGAAACCTGGGACCAGCAGGAGTATTGCAACTCTTCTTGAACTCACAGTGCACCCCTCTTTGCTTCACTGCCCCTACAGGGTGAACAGGGAGAACTGGGAGCATGGGAGCGCGGAGACCCGCTCCTTGTGTTTGATCTCGTTGCGATGTCAACCAGAAGTCAAGACCAGCAGTATTCTTGACTGTCACTAAGGAAGTGACAGGGCTTAATTAATCTCTTGGCTTTTATAATCAGAAGCCCTAAGATAAAGATATAAAGATAAGATAAAGATGTCCTATTGTTTCTTTTATTTTTTTATTTTTCTTATATGTATCCGTGTATTCATAACTATGTTTTTACTTATACCTATTATCTTGTAAGCAATTGACAAAAATAAATAAATAAAAATAAAAGCAAATAGATACTGTGGTAGATGAGAATGAATTAGGTACATCTTACCTGGATGGTTCAGCTGGAGTTTTCTGCTGACTGCTAATGACAACCTTGTGTAGGCATCTGGAAACTAACCAGCCATAAGACAAAATATATATAAAAATGGATATTGGACTGATCTTATTTCAAGTTTATTGAAATACACAACACACATACACCCTTGTGAGTCAATAGAAGATGACACTTTTTATTTTGAGTTGTAAGACAATATTTCAGGGGGGGGAAAGTCAGTAACTATATAATATCAATCTTTTATCAATATATTGATATATATTAAATCAATCTTTTATCAATATATTGATATATATAATATCAATCTTTTATCAAACAGATATTTCCTTTTGAAGAAAATAAAAAGTATATATTTTTATCTTTTGTGATGAAAGGGAGATTATCTCCACAGCATATCCAAGTTACCCAGGAGCTTGCTCTTCCTGAGACCATCATCTGTGAACGATCTTTAAATATCACATTTTGATTCTTACTATGTTACAGAGCACCTGATTATGACATCGAACATGTAAACAAGCTAAATACACTACTAACATGGGCAGCATCCTGCCCATACCCTTTTATCTTGGTGATTTCAATCTACCTCAGACTGGACGCTAAATGAATGTACCACTGAAACCATACATGCAACCTTCTACAATGCTGTTACAAATCTGGGACTGGAACAACTAGTAACCAACAACACTAGACTAAACAACTGCCTTGATCTCATCTTCTGCAATAGTTTGAATTTAATTTACAGAATATAAACTAAAGAACCCTTTTCTAGCAGTGACCACAATATGATTGACTTTTGTCTCAACATATGCCCACACAAAAATCACCACAATGACGTAATCCCCAATTATAACTTCAAAAAAGGTAACTGATCTTAGAGACAACAATCTCTCATCCCTTGATTGACAATCTCTATTCCCTGGATGCAATACTGTTGAAGACCATTACAACATATTTTTACTTGAAGTCAAGAGTCATCACACTATATGTACCAAAAACTCCCAAAACAAAAACAAAAAAACATTACCCATAACAATAAGGAAACTTCAATCCAAAAAGAGATTACTCTGGCGGAAAAACAAATCTGGTCACGTTGCCAATTTCAAAAGCTGATACAAAAATTTATGCCACCAGATAAAGACTGAACGCACCAATTATCACATTAAACAAGAGGAAAACCTATGCACCAATTCCACCTGTGCTTTTTACAATTTTGTAAACAACAAACTAAAAGACTCAAGGTCCATCCCACCTGGTAGGACCTAATGGTAAAGACTGCAATGATGATACCATTAAAGCCAACATCTTTAACACATTCTTCGGCTCAGTATTTGTAAACAGCAATGGATCATGGCCAGTATTTCCTAGCCGAACCACAGGTAACTACAATGATCTAATACATACCGATTTTACAGAAGACAATGTTGAAAAAGTACTACACAATCTAAAACCATCTCTATGTATTGGACCAGATGGAATATGTGCCTACTTCTTAAAAAAGCTATCCACTGCCATAGCCGAACCTCTAAGCATAATCTTTGAAAAATCTTTCAGGACCAGCTCCTTGCCTAATCTATGGTCACAAGCCACGTTCATCCCCATCTTCAAAAAGTGAGACCCCAGCCTAATTGAAAATTACAGACCAATCTCCTTATGCTGCATCACCTGTAAAGTCATGGAATCAATTATTAACCAATCCATTATCCTCCACTTAGAGACAAACAACCTACTCTCCAATAAACAATTTGGTTTCAGGAAAAAACTATCCTGTAATCTGCAACTCTTAAACTGCAAAAACATACGGACTACACAACTCAATCAGGGCAAAACAATAGATGCAATCTACATAGCCTTCTGTAAAGCCTTTGATTCATTGGTACACGACAAACTACTCCTAAAAATAAAATCTTATGGTATCTCTGGACAACTGCATAACTGGATAGAAGCATTCCTGTCAAACAGACAACAAATGGTCAAAATTGGGAGTGTCCTATCAAATTATGTACCTGTCAATAGTGGTGTCCCCCAAGGCAGTGTTCTAGGACCAACTCTCTTCATATTCTACATAAATGACCTCTGTGATCATATTAAGAGCAACTGAGTTCTTTTTGCTGATGTAAAGCTGTTCAATACCACAGACAATACTGCTACCCTTCAAAAAGATCTTGACTATGTATCAGAATGGTCAAACAAATGGCAACTTCAAATCTCAACAAATAAATGCTCTGTCTTACATATTGGCAAAAAAAATATATCATAAAATAAAATACAAGCTGAATAGTCAAGATCTTGTTGATAATCCAAGCTCTGTAAAGGACCTTGGAATACTCATCTCTAATGTTCTAAGTGCTAGAGCCCACTGTAACTACATAGCCAAAAAGGCATTAAGAGTTGTTAACCTAATCCTACGTAGCTTTTCCTCTGGTAATATCACACTACTAACAAGAGCATACAAAACATTTGCTAGACCAATACTCGAATACAGCTCATCAGTCTGGAACCCACATTACGTATCTGTATTAACACAGTTGAGAAAGTCCAGAAATATTTCACAAGAAGAGTTCTCCACTCCTCTACTCGTTGTAGAATACCTTATGCCACCAGACTTGAAATTCTAGAACTAGAAAACCTTGAATTACGCCGTCTTCGGTCTGATCTAAGTATGGTATATAAAATCATACATTGCAATGTCCTACCTGTCAATGAATACTTCAGCTTCAACCATAACAACACAAGAGCACACAATAGATACAAATTCAAGGTTAACTGCACCAAACTTGATTGCAGGAAATATGACTTCAGCAACAGCGTGGTCAATGTCTGGAATACTCTACCTGACTCTGTAGTTTCTTCCCCAAACCCCAAAAACTTTAACCTTAGACTGTCTATTATTGACCTCACCCCTTTCCTAAGAGGTCTGTAGGGGGCGTGCATAAGCGCACCAACGCGCCTACCGTCCCTGTCCTATTGTTTCTTTTATT